TGCAACTTCTGTGTACTAAAAGTTGTATCGAGGATCAATAAACTGGTTTAATCAAGAAAGGACTGTATCGTTGAAGATCCTCGGAAAGAATTTCTACCGGAAACAAACAAACAAGCAGATACGTAACAATACGTACCAGTTTTTAGCCTTAATTGTTCTTTCAAACGAGTTTCCCAGTTTCTCTGTACCTCAGTTTGATATGTACAGTTTGTCATTATACAAGACTCTTTTAAAGTTTAAACTTTAGTTGTATTGTCATCAGACAAGGACAGATCACACGGAACATTGTCTCTTCATTTCTGCTACAACGTTTCTTTACCTGTCGTTTGGTAGCTGTAGGAATTGAGATTTGAAGACTGCCCAGCCGCGAAAAAAACACGCAAAAATCTCGAAATGGTAACGTTTTTCTTTGAGTAATTTCAACAAAATGTAGGCGCGTTTTTTATTTATTCATTATTTTTGTTAACTAGATAAGCTTTTAACAAATTTTGTTTGTCTATGATTTTAAAACACGATGCAATAAAGATATGTTTATTTAGCAAATGTGGTATTTTGTAGTTTATATTGTTACAGTGTCACTAGGTGTGGGGAAAAAAAGATCCTAGTTTTTACCATGGAAGTCTGGTAGCCCTAGTCATATGCCCCCATGAAAAAAATCACAGCAAATAATATTTAAAAGATAAGTTGCAGGACGTACTTTAGGGTTTGTTTTAGCAAAATTTTGTAAAGTTATAATTTCGTATTTGAGTTTATAAATTGGGCTTAGCATGACCTGCTGGTTAGGGCGTTCGACTCGCAATCTGGAGGCCGCTGGTACGAAACCCTGTTCCACCAAACATGATCGCCCTTTTCACCCTTAGGGGCATTATAATGTGACGGCTAATCCCACTATTTGTTGGTAAAAGAGTAAACCAAGAGTTGGCAGTGGGTAGTGATGACTAGCTACCTTCCTTCTGCTCTTTCACTGCTAAATCAGAGACGGCTAGCACTGATAGCCTTCGTGTAGGTTTGCGCGAAATTCCAAACAAACCAAACCACTTAAATTAAGCTTCTCAATAACGTTAAAAATAACTAGAATGATTAAATCTGAAAATATAAAAAAATGGAGCAAACCACTGTAAGGTCGTTTGGAAGAAACTTTGAACCCATACTTTTCTTCCCAATTGTTTAGTTTTACTCATTAGACTTTCCATCTAATTTGACACAAACTATTAAGTTACCTACCTTATTTCATACACTTGACACAGAAATATTACGTTTCTTACCTAATTTTAAACATAAATATTAGTTTCCTGCCCAGTTTGACGCAATAAACGCTACGTTTTCCTTCACATCACATTTGGAACAAAACATAATCGGTTTCATACCGAATTTCACACAAAAATACTGTTGCAACAGCGGAAGTCACGTGACGCTGGTAACACGTGATGAGTTTCTAGAAGGATCGGGGAACATCACGGATAATCCAGTATTTGCTAGGCGCCCTCTATTTTAGTATATAAGCCGGTAATAAAGTGACGGCAATAATTGTATAGCAGACAGAGAGATTGAAGACATAGACAGACAATTGAGTCAAACGCGGTAGTAAGTAAAGTGCGTGAATCCTTCGTTTTAAAGTATAGCGTGTGTTTAAGTTAAATTGACTGTGGAAATTAAGTGTATTGCAAAGTTGAATTGAGAAAGAATAAACCAATTTTATATTAGAAAGGACTTGTATCGCTGAAGTTCTTCGAAAAAATTTTTACAAGTAATTAACAAACGACCAGATACGTAACAATACCAAGTTTTATGGTAGTTCCACCCATTAAATACTAGGTGTTTCTTTCGCATCACATTTGGAACAAAACAAATATGTTTCTTACCTAATTTCACATAAAAATACCGAGTTTTCAGGTCAGTTTGATACATTAAACGTTTGATTTCTCATTTCCTACTTAAGTTGACAGAAAAACATTAAGTTTTCCCAGCTAATTTCATATAAGAAAGACTTTAGGTTTTTTATACAGTTTAACATTAACACAAAAAACTTCAGTTTTGGACCCTCTAATTTCACACAAAAAACACCAAGTGTTTTACTAAATTAAGCTTCAAACTTAATTTGTACATACGCGTACACAAAACAAACAGATGAGTTACACTTAATATGAAACACAAACATTTCCCTCTCCTGATTCACTCATTCTTTGAGTAACAGACATTCTAATGTCAAATGTATTCGCAGAGAGGTTTGTGTGTTTAAAACGCTCGTGGACTTGACGTGAGATCTTCGATACATTTTGTTGTTGCATTTGTCTAATTCGATACAATAGGAGGATCACACAAAGTAGAACTACAACATTTATCGAAGGGAATTTGATCCCCTGTTTTTTTTTAATATTCAAAAATATTGTGCAACTTGAATAAAAATACATACTTTCGACTACTGGATTAAAGGCATGGGGTTATAAATAAACCCCCCAAAACAGAAACAAAAATATCAAAGATGCAGTCAAGGACGTATCTGCTTGTTTGTTAATTTCCCGTAGAAATTCTTTCCGAAAAACGTCAGCGATACAAATCCTCTCTTAATTAAAACTAGTTTACTCTTTCTCGATACAACTTTGTAATACACAGAATTTCCACAGTCAATACGTTTGCAATCTCGATAACAAAGCACACGCTTTATATT